CCCTGCTACCCACATGGGAGACCCGGAGGAAGCTCCTGGCTTTGGCCCTGGCCCCGTTCTGGCCATTGTGGCCATTTGGGGAGTGAACCAGCAAATGAAGATCTCTCGCTCGCTCTCTCCCCCCTCTCTCTGTGGCTCTGCCTTTCAAAGCAATAGATAAATTAAAAAAAAAAAAAAAAAGACCAGCCCAAGATTCTGCATCTTAAGGTCTCTCTGAGGTCTTCCCAGCTTGTGGCAACCCCAGGCAGGCGAGTACCAGGTTGGTCTGTTATGTGGAAGGAGCCCTGAGCAGATTTTCCCTCTGGCCCTGTTTATTTGCTGTGGCAGCTCAGGAACACATTGCCACAAGCCGGGTGGCTTGGACAACAGAGGTGCATCCCCTCCCAGTTTTGGAAGCTGGAAGTTCAACGTCAGCGGGCCCATGCTCCTTCTGCAGGTTCCAGGGGGATGGTCCTTCCTTGTCCCATCCAGTCTCTGGTGGTTGCCAGCAACCCTTGCTGTTTTCGGGCTTGTGGCCGCAGCACCGCAGTCTCTGCCTCTGTGTGCATAGCCTTGCCCTTGTCCTGGAGTCTCCTCGTGGGTCTCCTTACGGGAGCATCCAGCGTTGGGTTTAGCGCCCATCCGAATACAGTACTGCCGCATCTTAACGTGGCTGCATCTATAAGACCCTGTTTGCAAATAAGATCACAGTCACAGGTACCAGGGGCTAGGACTTGACGATGTTTTTTGGGGCCACAGTTGAATGACCAGCGCCTTCTCAGGCTGTTGGTACCAGGAGGGGTGGGCTAGGTGTTTGGTACAGGGGTTAAGGTGCTGCTTGGGACACATCCCATATTGGGGTGCCTGGTTTAAGACCCAGCTCTGCTTCTGATCCAGCTTCCTGCTAGTGTGCACCCTGGGAGGCAGCAGATGATGGCTCAAGTGTTTGGGTCCCTGGCACCCATGTGGGAGACCCAGAAGGATTTCCTGGCTCCTGGCTTCAACTTGGTTCAGCCCTGATTATTGTGGGTGTTTGGGAAGTAAATTCACAAATGGGAGATCTTTTTCTCTCTCCTCTCTCTGCTTTTTTTTTTTTTTTTCTTGGACAGGCAGAGTGGACAGTGAGAGAGAGAGACAGAGAGAAAGGTCTTCCGTTGCTGTTAGTTCACCCCCCAATGGCTGCTGCAGCCGGCGCATCGCACTGATCTGAAGCCAGGAGCCAGGTGCTTCCTCCTGGTCTCCCACGTGGGTGCAGGGCCCAAGTACTTGGGCCATCCTCCACTGCACTCCCGGGCCACAGCAGAGAGCTAGCCTGGAAGAGGGGCAACCGGGACAGAATCCGGCGCCCCAACCGGAACTAGAACCTGGTGTGCCGGAGCCGCAGGCGGAGGATTAGCCTCCGCGGCGCTGGCCTCTCTGCCTTTCAACTAAATAAAAATAGCAAAGCCCTTGCCCATGCCATGGTGAGCCCCAGAGCTCAGCTGGTCTTTCAGAGTTGCCCAGGCCGGGCTGAGAGGACTGGCCTAGTAGACCTCTGCATGGACCACTCCCTGGATGGGTGCTGCTCTGGGAAGGGACCATGGCCTTGGACAGAACAGTGGCTCAGGGCAGTTTCTGGGGTGAGCGCGTAGCTGAGAGCCAGCAGCCCCGGGAGTCTGTTCTCAGCACTGAAGGTGGGGTCCTGCATCCCAGTGTCCACTGCTCATTGAGACAGGCCCAGGCTTGGGTCTTCACCTGACTCCAGGTGGGTTCCTTAAACAAAGTGGGTGGCCTCCCCATCCTGCCTTGCTAACCCCTCTGTGGTTGCTGGAGCAGGAGCGAGGGAGCAGCCCTGGCCTTCAGCGAGCGGGGGAGTGTTCTGGCCTCCCACCCTGGCTGCAGGCCCCGGAGCTCCGTTGTGTGTTTGACTCAGTACTTGTGGGGTGGCATGCTCATGTCACGTCCTCTGTGCTGTTTCTCTTGACAAATCTTTGGCAACAGAGAGCCTGGCTAATGTGTTGAGCAGCGGACCTAATTCAGACGCAGGCTGCTGTCCTGGGAAGGCACCCTGCCACCTCCTCATTGCTGAGCCATGGGGCAAGTTGTTGCAGGAGGTATGGGAACTTGGGCTTTTGACAACTAGAGCAGTGATTCCAGAATATTCTAAAGGGTGAAAAGACGACTCAGGGTGGAGCCATCTTCCTAACATCTTGTCACATCCACTGAGTGGGCTCCATCCTAGCTATGAAATTCCTACTTACTTTTTTTGGGGGGGCATTTTAAGATGCATTTGGTGAAGTTGTAGCACAGCTGACCAGTCACATGGTCTGAAATTCAAAGGTTTTGTTGTCCATCTCTCATCTGTGCTCCTCAGCTCCTGCGTCCCATCCCTAAGGGTACCCCTGCTTCTAGCTTCTTGTGGGTCCTTCCAGATAACCATGTATGCACACAAGCACACATACATGTTTGCCGAGGTGTAGGCATGGGCGGATGGGTTTTTACACTGTACATGCTGTTTGGTATCTTGCTTTTCTCAATCAGCAATGTGGCTTAAACTTCCTTCCCCATAACTACTCTAGAGAGATGGGCATTGCGGCTCAGCGGGGTAAGCTGCTGCTTGGGAGGCCTGTGTCCTGACCTGGAGAGCCAGTCTGAGTCCCAGCCACTCTGCTTCCAGGTCAACTTCTTGCCAGTGCATCCTGGGAGACTGCAGATGATGGCTTAAGTGCTTGGGCCCCTGCCACCGATGTGGTAGACCCAGATGGAGGTCTGGGCTCCTGGCTCTGACCTGGCCAAGCTCCTGCTTTTGTGAGAATTTGGGGAGTGAACTAGCAGATGGAAGATCTCTCTCTCTCTCTCGCTATGCCTTTCAAATAAATAAAAATTAAAACTAAAAAAGAAAACCTTACAGAATTATTTCAGTGCATATGAAAATGCTTTTGAAATTAATTTATTTGAGCGGGTAGGGAGAGGGAGACATGCCTGTGACAGCTGGGGCTGAGCCAGGGCTCGAGTCAGGTCTTCCACGTAGGTGGCAGGAATTCAGTCACTTGAGCCCTCGTCACCTCCTCCCAGCGTCTATGTTAGTGGGAAGCCTGGGTCAGGAGCAGGGGAGGGTAGGCAGCCAGGCCCTCTGATGTGGGATGTGGGCATCTTAACTGCTAGGCCAAACACCCGCCTCCCCTGTTCTTTTTAATTACTGCATACTGTTGCTATCAGGTTAACCTAGCCATTCCTAGCTGATGGGTATTTAGATGGTGCACGATTTTTTTTTTCCTATCCCCAAACCACAGATGCAATAAATACCCTGCCCATTCATCCTTTTGTAAGTCTTTCCAGTATCCCTGAGGGGTGAATTCCTAGTCCCAGGCCGAAAGGTGTGTCTATTGTTACTGTGGGTGTAGAATGCCTCATTGCTTTCCAGAGAGGTTTTCCCAGGTTATACTTTGTTATACTTTGTTTTGCCATGTCTTTGCCAGTACTCTCCCACTTTGATCTTTCACAGTCTGACAGGTTAAACATAGTGTCTTTATTTGTAGTTCTTTCTTCACAAGGGAGTTGAGTGTGTTTTGTACCTCTACAACCATTTATTTTTCATTGCTGTGAATTGTTCATGCCCATTCCCGTTTTTCTCTTGGGTTTCTGGGTCTTTTTCTTAGTGAGTTACGGGAGCGCTTTATATATGCAGGAAATCGGCTCTGTTTGCTATATGGTGCAGCTTCTTCTGTCTTCCCATCCATCCCCCTTCCCTGGTTGGTCTTTGCTTTAGTTTCTTGTTGTTTTCAGAGGTTGTTTCCTTGGGTTCTGCTCACTAGAGAGGGACCCTAGGTGAGTTTTGGGGGTCTCTGGACCCCTGTAAATTGCGTGTCTGTAGTCGTGTTTCTGGGCAGAGGATCCATGGGTTTCATCGGATTCCAAGTGGAGCATTGGCCTACACAGTGTTCAGAGTTGCTGTCTTGTTGCCCGTTCGGTCCGTGTGCTGCTGAGATGAGGGTCTGGGTCTCCCTTCTCGTCGGGCTGTGGCTGCAGATCATGCTCAGGTGAGACAGGCTCCTTCCAGTCATGGCCCTGCCCTGGGCCATGCTGTGTCCCGGTCACAGGGCGGGGGGAGGGTGTGGCAGGTGTAGACCTCTGCAAACCCCTGGCTCGTGCGGAATCCATGCCCCCTCATCTCTAAGTGGGAAAGGTGTAGAATGTATGGAGGCTGGTTGCTCGGGTCAGAGCACTCATGTCCTTCTCAGATTCAGAGGTTGCAACAGCCGTGTGTGATGGGATTTGGGAGGAATTTGAATGGGATGACTCTCCCGAGTAGGATTAATGCGGTTATCCACGAGGTCTGAGGCAGCTGCCTGGCCTGTCCACGTGAGGGCACGGGGTGGGGGAGAAGGCGCCACTTCCATGGAGCGGCCTTGATCTTGCCCTTCCTGGCCCCCAGGACTGTGAGAAAGGAAGTTCTTTTGATTGGTGGTGTTCTGTTGCCGCAGGCCGACAAGAAAGAGAAGGGAAGGTTGAGGGAAGCGGAAACCTCATAGGGAGCCGGAGCCACGGGGTCATTTGGTCGTCACATGCATGTGGCCAAGTGTCTGCATGGGTGTAAGACCAGGCCTAGGAACCCAGACCTCTGTCCACCTGAGAAACGCCCTGGAGAGCAGTGTTGCTGGACACGGGGCCTGGCCCTGCTGCCTGGGGACAGTGGCCATGCGGCCTTGCCGGGGACCATTCCTGAAATGGCCCCACCCCTGCCATTCTCCGCCCCATAGTGGTCCTCACTCCCCTTGTTTGCTCAGGTGACTGTCACAAAGGGCCTGGGACCAGGAGACTCATGGAGGCCAGAAGTCCAAGATCAGGGAGTCGGTGGGGTTAGTTCCTCCGCAGGCTTGGAGGGGATGGGGTAGGGTCTGTCCCAAACGTGGCTCCCTGGGGTATCGCTGGCCGCTGTCCTCTTCCTGTGTCCGTTCGCATCGTCTTCCCTCCGTGGGTGTCTTTTCCCCCCCGCTGTGTAAGGACAGCTGTCTTATGGATTGGGGCTCTCCCAGGTTAACATCATCTTCACTTAATCGTCTCCTTAAAGGCCCCCTGTCCAAATAAGCTTACCAGCTGAGTTACGGGGGGTTGTCACGAAATGAATTTTGGGGACATAACTGAACTCGCCCCACCACCTACCCCCGTGCCGCATGTTCACCTGCTGACGTCTCTGTTGAGAATTTTCCCGCCAGGCTGCCGGCCCCGGGAGGAAGGGGCCACTGCATTGTCCCCAGGGTCCAGAAAGGAGGCGGTGTCCCAGGTGGCAGGCTGTGGGTCCACACACTCCCTGTTTCTCTCTGCGTGCTGGGCGAGTGGAACGAGGTGTCTGCCTGGCCCTGGAGCAGCCGTGCCTTCGGAGGGATTTGCCAAGCCGGGCCCCTGGGTGCCGGAGTGACAGGTGAGCTGCCACGCGCACACGAATACTTTGCCATGCTGTGAGGCTGCGAATGGACCTCAGCTCTTCCCCGGAGAAAATGTGCCGACATTGCAGCAGATGGGAGAAGCAGCTATTTGCAAACATATATTTTTTTGGATGTTTCACATGGAGATATATGTAGGTTTGGAGTCTGTCTCTTTGCCTGTAATGTTTTTTATACGTTTATTAGTCTCCTAAGTCAAATTCCCACCAACACATTTTGTTACTCTGCTTTTTTTTTCATTTGTTTTGTTTTCTCTTGCCCATTTTCTGAGCTATTCGACTTATTTGCTTTCTCTCCCTGGGTTCCCTCTGCCATTTTAACCACCTGCTTGAGCCCTTGTCTTTTTTTTTCTAAGTATTTATTTATTTATTTGAAAATCAGAGTTAGAGAGAGAGAGAGAGAGAGAGCGAGATAGATTTTCTATCTGCTGGTTCACACCCCAGATAGCCACAATGGCCAGGACTGGGCCAGGCCAAAGCCAGGAGCCAGGAGCTTCTTCCAGGTCTCCCACGTGGGTGGTAAGGACCCAAACACTTGGGCTGTCTTCCCCTGCTTTCTGAGGCAATTAGCAGGAGTCAGATCAGAAGCAAAGCAGCCAGGACACGAACCAGTTCCTACATGGCATGCTGGTATTGCAGGTGGTGGCTTTACCCCCTATGCCACAATGCTGGCCCCTTGAGTCCTTGTCTTATACCCTACCCCACAGCTCTTTGGTACATAGCTGGGCCATCTTTCTGTCTCTCTTCTTACTTTCTTGTCTGATGAGGCATGTTTCTTGGTGCCCACCTGCTCTTGCCAGGGCTGTGTGTACAGCACCTTGTACCTGGGCAGCAGTAAGGGGGTCCACCGAGCACAGAGCCTGGCGCTGGGAGACAGAGGAGGGGAACTTGTGGTCGCTGCCCTGCAGGAATCCTGCTGTCACTGGGATGAAGTCCAGATTCCCAGAGATTCCTGTGTCCACTGGGAGCAGAGCACGAGTCACCGGACACCCGTGGGAAAGAACTGAGTGCCTGCTGTTTGCTTCTACCCGGAGGCGGTCACCCTGATCCTGGATGATGATTAACATTTAGGGATCTCACCCCAGCTGCTTGGCAGGGGTCCTGGGTGCTTTGCTGTCTGACATTGTATTCCCCAGTGCACACTTTGTCAGAGGGGCTGTGGTCCCGGGGTGGCAGATGAGGGTGACCGGCAGCCCTGCATGCCCCGGGACTCTTTTGGAGCTGAACATGGGAAGTCTCAGGGTCTGCAAGCCACTCGCATCCCGGTGAAACCAGATTCACTCAAGACCACGTGTCATCAGAGTAGTTGGAGTCCTCACTGAGGGTTTCCAAGTGGAAGTGTGAGTGAGCGGCTGAGCGGGCAGGGAGCTGGCGATGAGTCAGAGCCCAGAGCCCTGGCTGTAAAAACTGGGTGCTTGCTGGGGGCAGTAACCTGCCCATAGGGTTCCTGGGGCTGAGGGCCCTCTTCCCACCTGTCTTCTGTGAGTTCACTATGAGAGGAAGGGCTTGTGTGCGTGCATATTCAAGCACAGATGTATAAACTCAATTGCATATGTGGTTGTGTGTCAATGGGAAAGATTTAAATTACATAGTACTACGCTAAGTGTAAACGCACATGTGACTTTGTGGTCACAGACTTGGAAGGAAGCAGGGGGACAGGGAGCTGCCTGCAGTACCTCTGGTCAGCCGCAGCTCCGTGTCCCTTCAGCACCTTCCTTTTGCATGAGGAGAAAATCCCTATGACGAGGGAGGTTTTTGAATCTAGTGGTGAAGCTGCCAGCGCATGTCTTCCCAGCACAGCGAACAGTTCCTTCGCCTCTCTTGGTTAAACCGTCCTCCTACAGGAATGAGCACAGATCACTTATTAACAACAAAACAAAAATTCATTGTGCCGTTACCTGGAGCCAGGCCAGGGCTCCCAAGCCTTTGGGCCGGGAAGGGACCCGAGAGGCAAAGGGAATGAGGAAGTGCCCAGAATGAAAATAAAGTTTGGCTTGGAAGCCTGGGACAAGTTGGCTGTCAGTGTGGGATCTGACTGTTTTACCATCTCATAGGAGCCTTACTTTAGCGAAACCAAGTGGAGTTTAGTGAAACCAACCAAGTGATAAGTGTTACCGCTAATGTCAACTAGATTTTAGCTCTAATTACTGCGGCTCTGATGTGGACGTCTCCTTTCTAAGCGCCTTCTGTATTCCAGGTTAACATGTTAATTAGAGAGCGAGTCTGAGTCAGTTCTCGGTCGAACATTTACATTGAATAATATAAAGAATACTTGTTTTGGAAACACTGCTCCAGGTTTGTGCAGTGTCATTCCCATAGGATGACATTTTATTCTATTAAAAACCAACATCTGTGAGCAGTAGTCTTAGTTTCAAGGCCAATTTGATGTAATAAAGCTTGAGTTTCCCTCGGGAGGGAGTGTGCTGTGTGGCCATTGCACTCCCACCTAATTCATTACTCTGGGATGCTTTTCCTGGATCAAGAATGAGCTAGTGTTTTTTTTTTTTTCTTTTTTTCCATCATTGAGAGCCATTAAAGCAACCAAGAAGATACCTTAATATGTAGGGGTAGAAATAACGGTCCCCCCCTCCTCCCATAATCACAGTTAGAAAAATATCTTCCAGATTTCTAAGGGGCTTGTTACTCAACAGTATATTTACTTAAAAATATATATGCTTTCATATATAAATTGATGTTTTTATGATAAAATATAATTTTTTAAAGATTTATTTATTTATTTGAAAGTTAGAATTACACAGAGAGAGAAAGAGAGGCAGAGAGAGAGAAAGAGGTCTTCCATTGCTGGTTCACTTCCCAGTTGGTCGCCAACGGCTGGTGCTGTGCCAGTGTGAAACCAGAAGCCAGCAGCCAGGAGCTTCCTCTGGGTCTTGCACGCAGGTGTAGGGGCCCAAGCACTTGGGCCATCCTCTACTGCTTTCCCAGGCCATAGCAGACAGCTGGATCGGAAGTGAGCAGCCAGGACTTGAACCGGCTCCCATATGGGATGCCGGCACTGCAGGCAGTGGCTTTACCCGCTATGCCACAGTGCCAGCCCCTAAATATTCTTAAATGATGTTCTTTAAGTACTGCAGTCACGGATACACTGGAAAACATTGGAGGTTTTTCATATAGCGTAGTAAATCCTGAGCTAATAGCTGGTGATTTCCATGTAGTTTTCTTACACATACTCTTACACATACATGTCTGTCAGCTCCTCTACTGGCTAGCATAGTTTATTAATCACGTTTCATTATTTCCCCTCTGTTTCAGATATCTTAAAAAAAAATTAACTCTTTTTTCCTCCAGTCAATTAAACATGATTTCCCTTTGTGGCTCCTTGTGGCAAAGAAATAGAAACACAATTGAAGAAATAGAAATCATTTGTAGTCAACAACACGGCGAGAGTCTCTGGGGCCATTTAGGTGGGCCAGGTGGCATGTGACACATATGCTTGCATTGTTGATTTTTTTCTTTGTCTCTGCAAACACTTGGTGCAGAATTGGGATGGAGGGTTCATACTGTGTTGTCACTGTACTTTTCTTTTTCCACCTAAAATAGAAAGAACATTTTCCTCTTAAAATTCTGTTTTCGGTAGTACGTAGCATTCTGATGTGGGATACTGAAGTTGTTTCCAAGTTTCCCCTGCGGAAGCAAAGCTGCTGTTACCTTCTGAGTATGTGCCTCTCCGAGTAGTCCCTGGGCCAGGTGCTTAGACACGTGTCCCCCATTGCCGACTGGCTCTTCAGAGGGGCTGTGCCATAGGAGAGTGAGTTTTAGAGGAGGTTTGGTAATTAGGGGAGCTAATCATGATTTGTGTAGCCCTTGGTTGAGAAGCAGGTTTCTTCCTTCATTGTTCACAGTTTGTCCTCATTCTTCTCCTGTTTTCTTGGTTTGTACAAACTTTAGATATTAAGGAAATTCATTTTTTAAGAAAAATATTTGTAATGCTGTAAATATTTTTTTTTTTTTTTTTTTATTTCAGTGGGGCAGAGTGAGGGCATCTTGATATTTTGTCTAGTCAGACCAGGTAGGTGTTTGTTGTGTTGTTTTTTAGTTTTCTCCCCCCCTTTTTTTTTCTGCAGAAGTGAAGCACAGGCCATGCTGTTGGTTTTATCTTAAAATATCAGCGAGTCCTGCCAATGCTTCATTGTTGTCTGCAGAAAAATCTTTGCCTTGGGGAGGGACTTTTAACCTTAAATGGAATTGAAAGATTTATTTATTTTGGGGCAAAACATTTTTTAAATCCCTGCATAGTTTTTTCCTATAAAGTCATTTCCCACGGACTTTCTGAAATCTTCTCTCTATTGGTGACACAGTTAGCCTGGAAATAGACACGTTTTGTGTTACATCAGGGAGTGAATGCCGGTTTGTCACTTTCTCTACTTAGACTTCGAGGCTCTGTTGAACCCTGAACTTAGATTGGTGTTGAATTGGGCCCTTTCAGATAGCAAGGAGCAGACCCCTCCCAGGTGGTCGCGGCTGAGGGGAGTTTAAGGGTAAAGGGGAGGAGGGTGGGTGGGGGGAACACTGCAGGGGATGGGGGCATGGATGTCCCTTCCTTGATCTGCTTGATTCTGCTTCCCTCCTGGGGGCGCCTGCTCTGTGGTTCCTAGCTCCCTGTCTCTTCTGGGTAGTGCTGGGTCCTTCATGGCTGTGTGGTTAATAACACAGGGCAAGGCAGTTGGGTTGCTGCACTCCTTGCTGCCTTCATCTCCCTGGAGCCTTGTTGGCACTGAGCGCCACTTACCATTGGGAGGCGTGTTCACCCCCGGAAGAACAAATACCCTGACAGGTGACTCTCCGAGTTACCAGGTTGGTATTGATGTGGACCTAGGAGGGGCTTTAGTTTTGAATCCAGGACCTTGTCTCCCACAGATGTAAGAATTCCAAGTAGAGGCATAGGATACTGCACAAATGAGAATAGGATTTATTCATTTTTAAAGCCTAAACTTTTTTTTTAAAAAAGATTTATCTTATTT